GGGGGGGGGGGGGGGCACTCATAGTCGTGCATGACGCAGTCGCTTGACCATTGACCTCGCATCCCTGAAAAAACGGGACAAAACCGGGACGGAGCGCGCCGGGTTCTCACCGGACCAGGCGCTCACATCACCAAGAGCGAAGCCCCGCGAGGTATTCGGCGAGTCGCATGAAAGGTGCACTGCATCCTGCTAAGGGTGTTCGGCATCTTGTGCGTACTCTCTTGCAACGGATACCAGCTGCGAATGACCTAAAAGACATTGTGTGGTGCTTTCACTTGCTTGCAGAGACGGCAGCTATGAGCACTACGTGACTGCCTCGAGGGTGCTTGACCAATTCACAACAGAACGTGGTGCGATCATCCCCTTTGCGCGGAGTGAGGGTTCTCGACCCCGCCCAACAAAGATTCTCGGCCACCATTCGTTGTGGTTACCGCAAGTTACCGCAAAAAAAAATACCATATGAAAAAAAAGCTATTGTACCTTGGTTGCCGAGCTCACGAAGTGTTCGGCTTGTTTAACAACGTCGTTGTCAAGCGACGAAACCCAACCCCGATGGCAAACACCGGGGGGTATGTGTTTGGGATCATTCGTTGACGCGTACCCTTTGCTAGGACACCGCAGCCCGCGTTGCCCGCTCCTACGGGTGGGGTGGGGAGGGGGGGACATCGCTCTTCCAAAACTTCTCGTTCGTTTTCATCCGCTCACTGCCCTTCGCGTGGAAACCTTGTTCGTTGGTGGTCTGCCGGGAGTTTCCCCAGGATCTATCTCCCCGTAGTCTGCGTTCTCTTCAAAACCGTTGCGCCTGCTATTTTAGTGGGATCGCCGTAAGTATACGTGATGTCCGTGTGGTACTACACTCGCGTCTAACGCCGGACGAACGGACACAAGACTGTGCATTCAAATCCGTGTCCTTGAGGCGACTCATACCGTCCGTTTCACTTGACGCAAGTCATGCGATGTCCGAACAGGCCCGCCATATTACTCGAGTTGTATTGCGAGTTGATGAAATAGTGAACGTAGATGACGGAAGGTACCACACATCAACTGCGTCTCACGGCGTTCCAAGGGTAGGTTTCCTGCTAGCGTGACCGAGACGCCAAGACGTTGTAACCGGCGGGAGGATGGTACAGGTTGGTTCGGTAACGACCCCCACACGATCTCTGGCCAAAGGGAGATGGGTGATAGCAAGTTTGGTGAGGCAGATATAGCCGATGTAGACTACTGTTTATTGAAACGGTCGAATTTGCCAGAGGCGTTATTGTTCCTGTATTTCGGGGTATCAGGTTGAGAAGAGTCCTTTTGGGATGGTCACTTTATCGGAGAGTTCACGTGCAGGAGAAGGCTCGCTGGACAGCGTGGAATAGCAGATTTATACAACAGCAGTACGTGAACTCAGAGAGGGATA